AAATTAATGTTTGATTCGATTTGATCAAATTCAAATCAAGTATTCAAATATTTGATTTGATTTGAATCAATAGTAAAACCATCTCCAAAGCTTCAGAAGTGGCTCTTACTAAGAAAACTATAGTAAAAAGCGTCTCTGCAGCTTCAAAATACCTTTTTTACTAAGAAAACTATAGTAAAAAGTGCCTTTGTGGTTTTGAATATGCCTTTTTTACTAAGAAAAATATAGTAAAAAATGCCTTCGCGACTTTGGAGATGATATTTTACTAAGAAAACATAGTAAAAAATGCTTTTGCAACTTCAGAGATGCTATTTTACTAAAAAAAACATAGTAATAAATGCCTTTGCGACTTTAGAGACATTTTTTACTAAGAAACCTAGTAAAAAAAATATGTTTGTGGCTTCAGAAACGTTTTTTTACTAATAAAATTATTATGAAGCTGAGATGGTGATTATTACTAAGTTTTTTAGTAAAACTGAAGCCGCGATGGTGGTTATTACTAAATTTTCTTAGTTAAACTGAAGCTGCAATAGCGGATATTAATAAGTTTTCTTAATAAAACTGAAGCTACAATGGCGGTTATTACTAAGTTTTCTTAGTAAACCGAAACTGCAGAGTTATTTTATTAAGTTTAATAATAAAAATTCACCTATTACTAAACTTACTTTGTAAAAGCTATCTTTAAAATTTTTTAGTGCAATTACTAATAATTTTCTTAATTAAAACTTAGAATAACTTTATTTTAATATATCATTGTAAAAATTAAAAAAAAATTTATATTCGATTCAATTTGATTTGATTTGACAAATATTTTAGTTTAATTTGATTCAATTCGATTTGATTTGAAAAAATCAAATCAAATTCAAATTGCTAAATAAATTCGACTCTCCTTATACCAAACTAGCGGTTTTGGCAAATTTTATTTGCTATAGAATAAGTTCATTATAAAATGTACATTTTTTATAACGAATATAATTAGAAAGTTCAGCTGGTATGATATTGAAATTTTGTTTTCGAATCCAAATGTGATATCTTTCTGCAACATCTTCATCATCAATCACTCTAATTATTTTTTGATGTTTTCCACATCTAGATGCTGGAAGTTTGTTGTTAAGTAATCAATATTTCATAAGATTTCAGAGTTTTCGCGCTTTCCATATACCACCATTAATATAAATTTTTTGAGTAACTTCTAAGCTTATTTCAACTCTTTTACGTCTGTTATTACTATTTAATAAGGTAAGATATTCAAATATTGCTTTTTTATGATTATACTCAACAACTGTTAATTGATTATGTTGTTTCTCTAACTGTTTTTTTAAATCTTTTATTTTTTCAGCTATTTGATAAGTATATAGATTAAAAATCTTATTTTCTGAATCACTTGAGGAATCCTCTAATATATCGGGCTTAAGTATTTATGATTTGGTAAATTGAGTATCGCTAATATTAAAAAAATTTGTAATTTTTGTAATACCAGCTGCTGCTTTAGTTAACGAGCCATTTGGATCATACTTATCATAATATGTTGATTTTGGCATCTTGCCTATCTTATATGATCTTCATTTTATTTTTCTAATTGATTATCATTTTTTTCATACTAAACTGAATTCTTTTAATCTTTGATTAAGCTTAATTTTAGCTTCTATATCCTCTGGATCATCCCATCTACTGCCATCATCATTACCCCACTCTTTTTCATTAAGAAATTCGTAATTAATATACTCACTATTACCATCACCATTACCAGCTGGTATATCATTAATATTATCATCAGAACCTGAAGAATTGTCACTGTTATCAACAAAATCAGATCATCATAGGGATTATTACTGAAAGAATTAAATGAACTATTATCCTTGTGAAATGTGATAACTATATCACGCCAACTATATTCAGAAGTAGATGAGTTCTGGTCATCTTTACGCATTTTTTTGCTAAACTTATCATTTGCTGTTTGTAGTTGGTCTTTTATTTTTCTTTTTTGTTTGGAAAAAGGTGGCATTTTTTAAATAAAACAAAATAAAATTCAAAAATGC